GAAAGGACAAATTCTTTAAACCAATTCCAGAAGCATCCAAACAAATCAGTTCTAAGTCTGCTCTAAAGAAACAAGTTAATACGAAGCATATTAAGAAAATGTTCAAGACTTTCCAACTTAGCCTAAGGATTACATTAGCATCCCTGGAAACACTAGGAAAAGAATTATTTAGAACTGAGTCCAACCTAAGAAAACTACCTTTAACCAGGGCACCCCACAAACAGAGTGCAAGATTCGCTCTGTGAATCTCACTATAAGCTTAACTTCATAAAAGACTTGAAAGCAGCTGCCATCAAAGACCCCAAACCAACAGAATATAGCTTCTTATTATCCATTTGACAGGCAGGGTTTTTTGAGTTTTGAATATGTGCAGAGCAAAACTCTCCTTCTCAAGATGCTCTTATAAAGCATGAGGAAATGTTTCAGCAGAGGGACATAGAATTTGTACAAAAGGAAAGAGAATAAAAGAGAATAAAACTTCAGTTTGCCAATGAAAAAAAGTATTTCCAGTGAACTATTTGAATCAATTGTATTAAAATACCTTTTTTTCTTGCAAAAACTAATTTCCTCAAACACAACTCTTTTTTTTAAATTCTAGATTTTCTGTCCAAATAGTGAACAGCAGTAGCCATTAGGATTTTTTGCTTTAATGTCTTGTAGCAACAGTGAATCATACTGAAGAGCAGCTATGAAGGGGTGCGAGGAATGTTCACATAGAGTCAGAAAACTTTCATATACTGATGATGACCTAAGATGAAATGTACAAAGTGGGGACAGGGCCTCATGGTTTCACTTTCTGCATTTATAGGTATTTCGTGGTTCTCTTTATACGTCTTTGCCACATATAGAAAACAAACTAGACTGGATAGTCTTCATTTAGCAGATTAGTGTCTAAAATAGTCTGAGTAATCTTTCCATTATCCACACTTAACAAAATATTTCCTCTCATGAGATTTACTAGGTTGGGCAAAGAATTAAGACAAACTAGGCTTCCATTCAGTTTACCCCTATTTTAAGAATAAATCCTTACAATTTTACTGCTAAGTTTTTCTCACTTCCCAGGTTCTAACAACACATGAAATACAATAAAAAGAAACAGCAGTCATTCCAGAGAGTGGCAGTTCCAAACTTAGCTACTAGTACTACTAGTCATGGATACATAATCTCATTCATGAGTTAGATGGCTGACTAACTGCAAAGTCCATGCTGGAGTCCAATTTGTAGGGTTCAAATACCCTCTAATTCTTGTGACCTGCAATAACCTTGGGCAAGTGACATATGCTACTTTCAAAGCTTCAGTATCCTCATCTGTAAAACGGGGATGATAGAAACATGCACTCATAGAGCTGTTGTGAGGATTAAATGAGATAATTCAGGTAAAGCTCATATAACACAGTGCCTTTTACTGCTAGCCAGTGTTATTAGGCCACATTGCCTCATTAGTTTGTGAAAGAGGAAGTATTATTCATTTGTATACGAAAAAAAGCAAGTTGACCAGACACTTAGGGAAAAAATACATAGCTCTCTCGTATTTTTCCAATCAGAATCATCCTTGAAATTTCTATTGTAGGCTCTCTCCTCTACCCAGTTCCTTAATCTCCCTGTCACCAAATGAATCCCCCAAAGTGGCAAAATATCCACATTGATAAAAAATTGTAGACATTTAGAACAGAGAAGAATAGGAAGAAAACATAAAACAGTTCACATGGAAGAAAAAGACATCACAGAGCTATTAACAAGAAAGGCTAAGCACAGATGCTGCCAACCTCAGGAAATCTTAACCTTTAGAGAGAGAAGCGGACAAGCCAGAAAGAAAGTTTTGTTTTTTGTTTTTTGTTTTTTTTAAGCCAGGCTTTTGGACCTCCTAACTTGAAAAATACTAATTATATGGTAAAAGTAAACCTAATACCATTATCTCTATCTTTCCCCAGAGCAATCAGGCCACTTCTGGATTCAAAATACTATATTAAGCTACACAATTTTAGTAAGTATATATTTAAACAGCTTTCTGGAAAAATAAACTCTTAAAAAAAAAAACTAAGAGGGTAAAGTTAATTCATAACCGAAATTACAATATTAATTTCAGAAAGGAAAACACTAAATTGCTATAAAATAATAATTGAAGTAAACTTGACCTTTTCAATCAAGTTGGATTCCTTATTTACAAGTTGTGTGAGTTTCTGCAGATTTGCATCTACCATCTCTTGTCCAGCAGGAGAAACGCCTAAGAAGCCAGAGACAGAAATCAGAAAGACAGAAAATTTTGAAAGCCTTTAAAGCTGCATTTTTTTTTCAATTAGAATTGACATTTAGTATTATTTTATATTAGTTTCAGGTGTACAGCAGAGCGATTAGACATTTAAAGCTGTTTAGTTTGAAAGAATTTTGAGTCTAGCCACCCTCCCAAGTGCTCCACCCTCCAACAAAAAAGCAAAGAGAAAAACCATTCTGGGTTCAAAGGCAAATTTCAGAGGGACAGTAATGCTCCAAAACCAAACCCTAAACAAAAAGACTAAGTTTGTCCACAAAGTAGACATTGTTGGCCTGTGTGATGTAGCTAGCCAAAGTAATTAGTAAAGAGCACAGCAGTCCTCAATTTCTTCTCAAATTTTAGTTGTGCCTTTTCCCGACCCATTCCAAATAGGTCTTTAGTTAAAACTATCTAAATAGTTTTTGAAAGCAGTGACTCACAAACAGCTATCCACTACGCATCCAAAGTATTTGGGGACTTAAAAAATACAGATTCCTGGGATCTATCCCTAAGAAGTTTTAATTCAGTGAATCTGGTATAGGACTCAACATTTTGTATTTGTCCTGTAGACAGGTTTGCCAACCACTGCTCCAAAGTAACAAGGTCGACTCCCAAACTACTAATTCCTCCCTTTATACAAAACATATAACCAACCATAAGAAATAAACTGTCCCTTATCCAATTATCCTTATAATTCTTGTTTCTTAAAAGGACAATTTCTGCCAACTCTCCCAATACAAATTTAGTATCCTAATCACTTAAGCACAAGGCCTCACATTCCCAAAGAAGCGTGTCCTAAATAACAGGTGCCCTCTGTTTACCTCCAGTCTGATGCAATCAGTTTTCAAGTAGTGGAATCATGGAGGTGCACCTCACCCAAATCAATCTGCTACTGATTTCTGTTCACGCAGGAAAATGCTAGAAGCAACATTTAAAGTAATTGCCCATTTGCATTAGGATAAATGCTATCTTAATAAATACCTCAACAAATACCTGTGATTTAATCTTTTAGAATAAAATGACCCACTTCAAAGGGGCAATAAAGAAAAATAAGCAAGAAATGTATAAAATCCAGAATAGCCAAAAAGGAAATATCTATTTCTCTATTTAAATAAGAACATATGGGAATAAAAATAAAGTTGGAAAAATGTAACTTTTTGAAGTGCTATAAACCAGCATTTAAAGACAATACGCAAACTTCTTTTTAAGTAATGAATTTGGCTTACTTAAGTAATGAATTTGGCTTGCTTATACATCATTGGGAGAATACGCAAATACTTTATACAAAGATTAGGTGAAGAGGAGCCAGCTTACCTTCAAGACTAAGCCTAAAATAACTGTTAAGGATATCATCACAAAAGCGACACAGGTTGGAGAGCTGTTTCAAATGTTCTTGTAACTGAACTTTAGGGAAGCGTACTTTATAAAGAGGTGCAAGAAAACCAAACACATAGGCATCCAAGGTAGAAGGCCTAAAAATAAATTCAGGATTTTTAGAAAGCACATAAGAAAATATTAACTTGGGATGATGTTAAAATTTTTTTTTCCCCAAATACATTTGTCAATTCTGAAAAACAATATAGTCTTTCAAAGGCTTACCACCCATTTTAACTTATAAAAATGATACAACTAGGATTTACTCATTAGTTCTAATACTCTAATCATTTTTTTTTTATTTAGAATAAACTGAGCTGTGAATTAAAGATTTGCTTTTACTCACAAGTGTTATATAGGGACTGGAGAATAATCTCAAATGTTTTAAATTCACATATGCAGTATATTAAGTCAATATTAGATTACCACCAACAGAAAGTGTCCTATAGTAAAAATCCATTAAATAATTTTTTTTTATGTGAAAAACTCATTTGTGAGAGGGGAAAAACAAGGGAACTTGCTTTAAAAAACTGTTCATTGAATATATACACGCATAATATTACAATGACTTTTAAGGAATGCACTCACGTATCTCCAAAGAAAAACTGAGATGTTCCCAATCTGTTTGACAGAAGATTTAGGCACTCCTTGGCATCTCTGTATATCTAATAAGGATGAAATTAGACTTCAGAGGTACGAAAGATGCTCTAGAACTCCCTTTTAGGCAGGTATCTACAGATAAGTGCATCTCTGCTATCTCTCTTGTCCTTCCTCAGGAGGGCCCTGGCTCTGAAAGTAATCGTAACCATACCTGTGCTTCTACTTCTCGGAGGTGGTAGAAGGGAGGTTCTCCTCTGGTCAGGAGAATTCTAGTCAGTGCTCCCTTAGACATTCTTCCAGGCAGGATCAAACTCAATGGAAAAGGAATTCGTGAAGCAAACCATGGTTTTGTCACAGTAAAGTAATTGTCGCTCTCAACCCAGAATGTGTGAAGCTGCAAAAGGAGGGAAAAAACATTACAAGGATATTCTTTAATTAAAAGATCATTCAATTGATGTGAAAATTTTTCATAAATATCTTTGTACAAAGTGACTTTGTACAAATTTTTCAGTCAATATTAGATTACCATGACTGAAGGATAAAACAAGATTTTAAACATGCGTTTTGTTGATTGCTATACCTCCAGCACCCGGAACAAGGCCTAGCATATAGTAGGTGCTCAGTAAATATTTGTTAGATGAACGGTTTACAGTTCACCCAATTCTATACATGGAGCAACAAACTCTATCTTCCACAAAGAATTTTCATTTCTAAAATGACATTATCTTTCACTTGGTTGTTTCACATACTAGTTGAATGTCTAACAGAATCCAGTTTCACAGTAAAATGAAAGAATCAAAATTAATACATAAATGAAATATCTTCTTTAAGCCTTTTTCATTACTTTTCTTCTAAATACACTAAGTACATTTTCAGTTGGTCACTAAAATATTGTAATATTCACCAATGCTCACCACTGCAGGGAGAAGCTTCTCTTCGAGGAGAGCAATGTAAGCCAGTGTATCTGCCCCTTGTTTTGCTGAGAGTTCATAATCAGCATTATATTTCTATTAAAAAAAACATAAAACCAAAACACCTCAGAAGTCAAGAGCATTCCAAAACAGTGTAGCTAAATAAATTAGGATTCCTATTCTTCCTCAAAAATGGCAAGCATGATATTTAAAGGGAGGAAAATACACATTTAGTGACAAATGCTGCTTAAATGCAAATAAAGTTCTTAGCACAGCATCATGCACATAGTAGGGTCAATAATTGTTAAAATAAATTTTTTATTCACTACTATTATTTCAGTAACTGTTAATGACCTAGTTTGAGTTAGTACATGGCATGTAGTATAAACTTAATACATAGACGCTACTGTTATTTTTGTTAACAATAAGGAAAAAGTTCTAATTAGTTGCATTTTTCCCATGAAAATAGAAAACCTTCCAATTTAGAAAAGTTCTAAATTTGTTGACATAGGATTTAAAAAATATATATATTGGCAAAACCAATGATAACTCTTGCATTTATATAAATCTTTACATGTTTAAATATTTTGGATACATTATAAAAAGGTTTACATGTTCAAACATTTTAGATACATTATTTCTTAAAACATTTAGCTGCAATTGTCAGTTAAGTGCTTTTAAAAAATAAAAATAAAAAATAAAAGTTGGTGGAACCTCATATGTCACACAAAATGGAACCTAACACAAAATATGTAGCAACTATGTGCCTAAACTGACAATCATATCAATAAGTGTAATAGCAAAGATGGCTAAATTCAATCTGCTTATATCTAAACTTCAATAAAATCCAAACAAAGGTCTTGAAATTATAAATCGACTATTCTTCATTTTATGACTTTCAAATCACAGTACAATTCATATATAAAGCAGTAATTCTCAAGTCCATTTTTATATCAAATCCCAAGTATCTCCAATCATCTACTGAGTTCGCAAAAAAGAATTTTTTGTTTATGGTGACATTGGTTAAGGAAATCCAGTAAGTTTCAGGTGTACAATTTAGTAGTAAGACATATATATATATGTGTGTGTGTGTGTGTGTGTGTGTCTCTCTCTCACCCTATTGCATTGTGTATTCACCACCCAGTTAGATTTGTCACCACATATTTGACCCCTTTTACCCCATCTACTTCTCCCCCTCCCCACTAGTAACCACTAGTCTATTGCCCATGTTTACGAGTCTGTTTGTTTGTCCTGTTTGTTTGTCCTGTTCGTTTGTTGCTTTTAGGTTTATATCTCACATATAAGGGATAGCATGTGGTTTTCAACTTTTTCTGTCTGGCTTATTTTGTTTAGCATGATTATCTCAAGGTCCATGAATTTTTTAAAATCCCAGAGGCTTATAATGTATTTTTTTTAATTAACATCCAGGGATCAACAATTTACTTCTTCAAAAGGAACAACCCACCTGTTTTCTTAAAAAGTTTAGTATTTTTGCTGGTTGAGAAACAATGTTGTTTTCACTTGTCAAAACTGGTACATCTCCTATAATTAAAAAAACAGTTTACATACAAGAAAGCGTTGCGTTTTCCTTTGAAGGGATTCTGATACCCTAAAATCTATACCAATTGCACATGTGGCAGGGGAAAAATGAGCAAAATATTCGTTCTTTGCAACTTTACAAAGAGCAGTTCTAAAGAACATTTTTATTTCTCATAATTTCCGATGATTTGGCTTGCACTTTGAAGTATTACTCAGAATGATCAAACTATGAGCTACACGCAGCCAAGGACACGATAAAAAGAAATTAAAATCCCAAGGTACTCCATGGCTATATGCCTCAGAGCTTTAAAAGGGGCGGGGGGTAGTAGAGCTTAAAGAGAGCAGAAAGGGGTGTTTAAAGTTTACACTGTACCTCTTGAACCTCTCCAGGTGTTATCTATGATATTGACCTTCAAGGGTGCACCAGAAAATTTGGCGTAAGCCTGAAACAGAGTTTGCAATAATACATTTTAGACTGAGTACGTAATGCAAATCTGCTTTACTTCATAGCCTGGTTCCCCAAGGCAGAAACACCAGACACTGGGGCCGCGTTCTTTCCCCGATCTCTAGACTGGGGAGTGCGAACACTAGTTACTCGGCTTTCAGAAACCTAGTTCCCTAAGGCATGGCGGGGCGTAGGGGTAGGGGAAGGGATGCAGAGCGGGGCACGCACGCCCCCTGCTTTGAACTTACACTCCACCGCCCACATGGCTTTGCAAGGCTGAGAATAACTCAGAGCCAAGTGGAGAAGCTGCGGGTCTCCCGCCAGGCTGCCGTGGAGTCACAGGCCAAGTTGTAACTCATTTGTAGACTGCAAGGAGGCCAGGGCGGTGCAGCGAGCAGTGCCATGGGGAACTGCTGCAAGCCGCCGGTACCCGGCCCATCTAGCCTCTCTCCTGTGGCCCCGCCCCCTTCTTTCCTGGGCCCTGGCCCGCAAGGCGTCCTCACCATCACCACCAAGGACTCGCTGTGTACCGATGGGAGCCCCCAGCCGCCACCCCAGCAACTGAGCTCTAAGGGGGCCGCCATCTTGCCGGGGCGGAACTTTGCTGTCCCGGAAGTACTTTTGGCGCCCAATTTCCGGCACATGGAAATGAGGGGCGGGGCGAGGGAAGAGTAGGGTACTTTTGGACTCTAGACTAGAGTTATAGAAAGGACCACTGGTGGATTAAAAGCACACAAAGAATCAGCTCGGCCTAGGGGTTAAAGAGTCCTGGGTTAAGTCAGATCCACCAGTCATTCCTCAGATATTTGTTGGATGCCTAATGTATTCCAGACCCCTTGAACATTACTACCCTGGGCCTAAACTAACCTGTTTGTAAAATAGATATGACAGTTCATTACAAGAATATTATGAGTGTTTAAAATTATGGCATGTGTAAAAGAACTGGGCATACAGTAGGCACTTAATAATTGTTCAAACCTCCTCCTTATATTTGGCCTCTGCTATTTCTGCTCTCAATCTCAATTATGTCATCTTCATCTTAACTTGTCCCTCCCTCCTTGAAAGTAACTTAATTCCTGAAATTTGTCAAATGAATTCTGCTTTTCTTCAATATGAAATATCTTTCTTCCCTGCCACTGAACTTAACTATCAACTTCAATGGGACAATTTTACAAAGTTAGAAACTTCTGGGTTCCTGCAGCCCCTGTACATACTTAAACTGTAGTATGTACAATTCTATCTCTAGATACAGACCCTTTGCCTTTCACTACAGGAAGCATTTTGAGGACAGAACAGGCAGGCTTCATACAAGTGAGACCTGAGCAGTCACACAGAGCCCTGTGCTAAAAGAGCCCACACTTACCTTAATGTTCTGCTGTTATCATCTTGAAATTCTTAATAATTTTGGAAACAGGGGCTGTGAATTTTTATTTTCAACTAGGCCCCGCAAATCACATAGCCAGTTGTGTCAGTCATGAAATGAACTAAATGTTTCTTGAACATCAAATGACAATTTCATAGAAAAATTGTTAAAGAGAAAAGATAGGCCTTGGGAATGCCATAATCCTAACATGCTTACTGGGTCCTGGAGTTAGGTCTGAGGTACTGGACCTTTTATCTAGAAGGCACAGTAGTCTTTCTGGGATACCCTCCCAGTCTTTCCTCTGAGTTTTTCCTTTCTTCTGCCCCACTGAAATAGGTGAGTCCTCTTAAAAAACTGAGAGCTCAAAAGAAACATCTGCAAATTCTCATACAGTTACAATTCATATAATTGTTAAGTACTCCCTTACTGTTTACATAGCCATAAATCACAGTGTCAATCTATTAAAGTCTTTTGTCATGTTTCAATGGCAAGAGTTCTCAGAAATGAGAAGATAAAAATATATTAAAGATGAGAAGCCATTACTAGTACTGTATAGCTGGGAAATGCTTACCATATGTACCACTAAAACTAAATATCAAAACATGTATTGAGCAACTACTGTATCCAAGACATCATAAGGCTCGGGAGAATACAGAGATAAATAAGACACAAATTCTATCCTCAGGAGTTTATAGTCTACAAAGGAGATGTATAACTAAGTGTAATAAGTCAGATTATCATGAGTAAAGTTAGAAATATAAATAAAATTCTATGGAAGCACAAAGTAGGAATGATGAATCATCTGTGAGATTAGAGGAGGCTGGCTGTTCGGTCTTTTGTATAAGGAAGGTAATTTAACTTTCAGATTCAAGTAATAGGATCTCCCTGTTTTGAGGGTTAAAATTCCAAGCCATAAAGTTCAGAGTCCATATACTACAATCAGGCATTTTAAATAATCATACACAAATAATATGGATTCCCTGAGTCTTGTTCGCAGGGTCGGTGAAAGAGGGAAGTGTATGCCCATTCTTTGTGGACACATAATATAATTCCTCAGTTCAGCCTTTTTCCTTATTGTTGCTGTTACATATGGTAACTTCATTTGCATTAAAGAGAAATTAAATCCCTTCTCTTGAATTAAGAGAGAATAGCATGCTATTGCATCTGATGAGAGAATCCTTCTCACATGTTTATTTGTGCCTATTTAACAGCAATCTTCTATTGCTGCAATTCCTCTTGAGAGTCTATGTTTGCTAGACTGAATTTTAAAACCCCAGCATAACTGATTTCAAAACCAGGCAGAATATTGTTCCAGAGAACCACATAGAAAGCTGAAACCTTCAGGAATTATGGTTGGTATGGGTAGTTGGCCCCTGTACCTTTTTCTGGCTGCTGAAGAGTATTGTTCAGAGTTCATCAAAATCATAATTTCAGATTCCTACCAGGAAGCATATCTGCAAAACATTCACGTATGTGTGGGATGACCTGAATCACAGCTTTTTAATGAGTATTCCAGACAATGTTTTCCCTGAAAAAGAAATATTATTTTTCAAAAGATGGACATTAAAAATGACTTCATGTAATGATAGTCATCTAAACTCAGGGGACCTGATCTTGGCATCCATTTCTATCCTTCATGTGTTTCTTAACTTGGGAGCCTTGGTGTAGGTTCAACTAGGATCTTTTTTGTCTGGATGATTAAGAATCTGTGAAAAGGTGTTATAAGCAATAATGAAAGGTTTTTGATAAGTCATCATGAAGTATGGTCCCGTATGGAAAAGTTTAACTAGAGAGCCTTAAATGTCCCTTTCAACTCTAAACTTCTATAATTTAATTTTCTGTTCAGATATAGAATCCTCGAGGAGGAAAAAAACAAACACTGAATAGAAGTCAGGAGAACTGGTTTCCTGACTTTGCTTCTAGTTAGCCAAATAACCTGTTGCCAATCATTTTGCCTCTATTCCTCAACTCATTCACTTATAAAGCAAAGGTTCTTTTAGCTCTGAGATACTATAATTCTATGTGTAATGAGCATTTAATAATAGTTGACATTCATGAAGCAATTTCTACATGCCAGAAATTGCTTGGAATATCCAATATAACTCATTGGATCTTCATAATGACTCCGTGTGGTAAGTACTGTTATTTTCCCGTATTTCCAGGGAGGGAAATTAAGGCATAATCATGTTTATTAACCTTCCCAAAGTCACCTAGCCAATATGTAAGAGAGCTAGAATTTGAACCTAGGCAGTCTGGGCTTACATTCTTAACCACTATGCCATACTGTCTATAGCCTTCCAAGTAATGCATTTAAAATCCCAGTTTCACTCAAACTGGTGTTATCAATGCCATGATATTGCCATCATTACTTGTTTCAGTAGTATTTCTTTAGTATTAAGCCATTAGACAAGTTCATTAAGCAGCTTCTGTGCATTCAGCACTGCTAGGCTGACAAGAAATAAAAACTTATGTTCATGTGTTCAGAGGTCTAATTGATAAAACAAGGCCTACATATTTCAAGTAACTATAGATGATTAAGAGGTACCATTTTGTCAAGCAGATCATATGTCTAATGTGGTCTTAGGCAAAGGCTTTAATGTTCTGCGGTGCTTGGCAAATGCCTAATGGAAGAAGTAGGACTGTAGTTGGCCTTGAAGGATGGGTACATTGGATTTAGATTGGCACAGAGAAAGACATTCCACTTGGGTTGTGCTACATGAGTCAAACCATAGAGATGGGAATGACTATGGCAAAGAGTCTGAAGACAAATAAAGGATGCTGGATTCAATAAAAAGTTGGAGACTGATCAGGAAGAGTGTTGATCGACTAACTTGAGAACTGGAATTAGTGATATTGGAAGGCAAGTGAATATGGAGTTTTGAGGAGGTAAAAAAGAAAAGTTAAAGTCTAAATACAATATGAATGGATTCACTTTGTCATGGATGGAAGGCAAAATTGTTATTGTTGCATAGACACTTTAGGAAGAAGGGTTTTCTGAACCCATAATTTGTATTAAATGAATCAAAATGTTGTGGAAAATGATGTGAGGAAATGCTACTGAATATTATTAGAAGAAAGTCCCTGGAACTCTTGCACTAAGCATTTTTTCATGAGGTAGTTTGTTGGAAATCAAATTGCAGGGATTGTGAAGAAGTTGGTGTTAGGAACAGGGGGCAGGTATAAGATTGTGAGGAATGTGACACAGATAAAGGGAGGAAGGAAAAGGGACAGGAGCAGAAGACTCAATACAAAGTTTTTGGAAAGATGACAGGGTGAATCTACATACATATGGAGACAAACTTGACTACTACTGAGCAAAAGCCTTATGATGCCAGAGAGAAGAGGGGTGGGGTCTTAGGAATTACTCTAAGAGTTGAGAGGCCGAGATCAGTAGCTGGAGCTGGTATTGAAAATGAGAAACATGCTTTCTCTCTGACATTGGAGGAAGTTTCAAGGGGAGCATGGGATGCTGCTGACTTAGCTCAAATCAGTTACCTTCAAATTTCCCTGTTACATTAGGAAAAAATCAAAAGAGCCTGAGAGAGAGAGAGAGATTTGGACTTTGAAAAGAGAGAAAATAATTTAGAGCACCTACCAAGGAGTTAGTAAAAAGTGAATGGAAGAATTGCTGACAGTGACAAAGGTTAAATTTAAATTAGTTTGAAGGAGATGAATCAAGTGAGAGCCATGGGCAGGCTAATAATTAGGTACCCTTTCAAACAGATATTTGAATATTATTTATTTAACCTTTTTTTTATAATGGAAATGCAGTTAAGTAGAGAATTAACAGGATCAATTTACATTTTACCAGTTCTGTCTCTTAAAAATCCCATGCGGAGACATGGGTTGAATAGCCTTTAAAGTTTGGTCCTGGGGATGATGGAGAGAAGAGGGAGGAGGGAATCCTAGGAATTGCAAAAGATGGAATCTGTAACTTTAGTAGTGGGGTTCAGCCATTTTGTCTAGCTAAGATAGTTGTGTGTCCTTCTCCAATAGTACTTTGTTACCCAGAAATTTAAGTGGGGAGCCAGATTCATATAATCACTTAGTATTATGGTTACCAAGTAGTAACATAAAGGGATTCATTTTGCTCCTCCAGTATAGTGAACTTTTTCTGTTTTGTATTTAAAAGAATTAAATGAAATAAAAATAATATTGTATGGTGATCAGTTTATGTAGAAACAGGAAATTTTTATTTTAAAAGTGAGAATGGAAAAGGGTCCTAATAGGAAATAA